AGTATAAAGAAAAGAAAGAAAGTGATAGGGAAGGAGAAAAAATGATGGAGTCTACCATCACTTAAACCATCATATAATCCATAGTTTGGCTTGTCCCTGCGAAATCACATGTTGAAACTGATTTCCAATTTGGCAGTGTTAAGAGGTAGGGACTACTGGGAGGTGTTTGGGACATGGGAATCAATACTCACATAGAAATTAATGCCTTCACGTTGTTGGGGTGAGTCGAGGTGGTGTATTTTTGCTTCAGCAGAAAAGGATTTGGTCCTGAGACAGCAAGTTGTTAAAAAGGGTCTGTCTCCCTGGTTTCTCTCTCTTGCTTTCTCACCACGTGATGTCTTTGCATCCACCTGCTCCTTCTTCACTCCCTGCCATAAATGGACTCAGCCTGAGTCCCTCACCAGGTGTAGCTGCCAAATTGTAGACTTTCAGCCACTGTAATCGTGAGCATAATAAACTTTCTTTTATTAAATATCTGACCTCAGGCATTCTGTTATAGAAACACACACTATAAACCAACGTACATAGTAAATTAGTAAATCAAAGGCAGTATAAATTATTTATGGAGTGGATAGTACAAAACCTATTTACATTTGGAAAAATAATCCAGGAGATAGTGAACGCAGAATTGTAAAGTGGGATACCCATGTCTCTGAAAAAAGAGAGTGAGAATGTGATAAAATAATTTGGAGCATAGTTGCAGAATAAAGGTGGACTGAAATATGAAGACATCAAACACAAGAGAAAGTGATTTAAAAAATTTGGAGCATATTCATAAAATAAAGGTGAACTAAAATGTAAAGACCTTATATAATCTGTAATATTCTCAAATACATGAAATCAGGGTTCATTTCTCACAGATAATCAGTAATGTAAAGCCTTTCACTGAGCCTGTTAAGCTAAGAGCCACATCTCCCTCGTCTATGGGAGCTTATTTAAACACAGTTGACAGGCATCACTGAACAAAGGGCAAATTGATTCATGAGAGTGTGCCCATTTGGGTGATTGGGAAAAATGTGGAAGCCAGAACACATGGGTTCAGTCCTTTATACTTCATATGCCTCAGTGCCCTCATTCAGGCTCATTAAGTCTCTCATTTTATTTTATGGCCCCACTATGAACTGGCAGGGGTGTCTGTCTCACATACTCTAAGGAAAGTTGAGAACCACCAGGGCTCTCCAAACTAAGACTAGGAGCCACAGCAAGGTTTGGGATCCGTAGGTGAAGTGGTGGTGGGGGAGGTGAAGCTGGAAGAATACTGTTGGTGATGAGGAATTCAGCAAAGATTCTGCCGATTGTTAGGCTCTTAATTGAGTTAATTAGGAAGGGGTTGTATTCATTAACAATAATCAGAGTGGAGAAGCGAGGTTGTCCTATCAGAGGAAGAAAATCATCCGGGTACTGTGGACAGCTGTCCAGGTGACTATAAGAGTAAGACAAGGGGCTCAGGCGCTGGTATATGACGTATTTCCTGTTTCCATAAGAAGGTCTTTGGAGTAAAAGCCTGTGAGGAAGGACATACTTGTAAGTTCTAGGCTACCAGTAAAACGGGAAGAGGGAGCCAATGGTGAAGTTTTGAGTAATCCTCCTATTTTTCGAATGTCTTGTTCATCATTGGGATTATGGATGGATCCTGAACATATAATTAATATAGCTTTAAAAAAGTTGTGGGTACAGATGTGAAGGGATACTAAGTGTGGTTGATTAATGTCAATTGTGACTATTATAAGGCCCAGCTGCCTTGAGGTAAAAAATGCAACCATTTTTTGGATAGCATTTTGTGTTAGAGCACGGATTGCTGGAAATAAGGTGGTAATAGCCCCCAGGCATAATGTAAAGATGTGGATTAATGGGTTATTTTCTATGCAAGGGTAGAAGCCGATAAGCAGGAAAACCCCTGCTTCAACTATAGTGCCGGAGTGGAGCAGAGCTGAGACAGGCTGGGCCTTCTGTAGCACATGGGAGTCAGAAATGGAGACCGAATTGAGTTTGCTGCAGCTGCTAAGAGAAGGCTAATTAATGAAAGGGAGTTGGGGGTAAGATTGAGAATAAATGCTTGTTGAAAGTCTCCTGTGTTGGAGAATACAAGGAACTATGCTGTAGCTAAAATAAAGCCAATATCGCCGATGCGTTTGCACAGAACCATGCAGGGCTTGCAGGGCTGCTGTTTCAGCATCTGCTCCACCTTATCAGCTAATTAGAAGGATAAGATTCCTACACTTTCTCATTCGATAAAGAGTTGAAAGAGTTTGTTGGCAGTAACCAAAATTATTATCGTAATGAGGAAAATAAGTAGATATTTGAAAAATTGATTGATGTGAGGGTCTGAACTTATATTGAATCATATTGCAATGATAGTGTGACACTAATTTAATCAGTGATGATACGGTTTGTGCTGAATATTGCACAGACCTAATCACCTCTGTCTCCACCTTTCTTAATACCCTAAATACCCCTCAAGAGGTAGGTGTGGTCTTCAAAGATTCATATAGAAAGATGTAGAAGATTAATATTTTAGAAAGCTCCTTGTTCTGCAGAGGAGAAAGGCAGCACTTAGAGTTAACTGCATTCAGGTGACCTCTGAAGGTCAGCACTGCGGTGAATGAGCACCTGACCTTGAGGAGTGCTTAACAGATTTTTTTTGGAAGAATCACTGTGGGAAACATTCATAGAATCCTGGGATAAGTTTAAGTTATATGGAGAAAAATATTTATCTCTTCATTTAAAAGAATAAATGACAGTGACAAAAAAATCTGCCTTAAATCTACTTAATATTTGTAACTCATAATATTACTATTTTATGACAGGAAGTCATTAGTTGTTATTTTGTGTATTCCATAATTGTTCAGTACATTTTTTAAGAATTTTAAATATCTAGTATTTGCTGCAATACATTTGTATGCATCGTGAATATATGGAATTCAAATTAAAACATATCTATATACATAGGGGTGTGTGTGTGTGTGTGTGTGTGTGTGATGCATTTATTCATATTGGCACGTTGAATTAAGTAAAAAAGTAATTATTGAATACTGCAAATGTTGTGCTTTCATAACCTTAAGCTTTTAGACATGATTTTAAATTGCTAAGGCAATCATGAGATGAAAAATGGTGATACTAAGGAAATAAGAAGGCTCTCAGAAATACCCTAGCTTAGAAATCAAAACACAGTTGTTGAGCAGATAAATGTATAAGGCATAATTTGATACATGATACTGGTTGTCATTTGAATTGAGGCTTTAGTCAGATTAAACTATGAAAAATTCCTGGAAATGGCTCAGATGACCTCTGAAAAATATTTGCTATTCTTAGATTTTTCACTTTCTGCACTTAAATTCAGCAGTATTTTTAAGTAAAAGAGAGTAAAGGTAAAGGACTTGAAACTGCCAAAGCAAATATTACAGATTAGTTTGTATCCATTCAGGGTTCTCCAGAGAGACAAACCATAGTGTGTGTGTGTATGTATGTGTGTGTGTGTGTGTGTGTGTGTGTGTGTGTATACACACACGCATATATATATACACATACACACACACAGAGAAAACGCTCATCATTGTGTTACAGTTGCCTACAGTATACCATACAGTACATGTTGTACAGGTTTGTAGCCTAGGAGTAATAGGCTATACTGTATACCCCGTAGGTGTGTAGTAAGCTATACCATCTAGGTTTGCGTAAGTATAATCTATGATGTTCAAACAATAACAAAATTGCCTAATGCATTTCTCAGATATATCTGTCCTCACTCTACACATGACTGTACAGGAGAAGAAGCCTACCAGGGGAATTGATTTCCATGATTATGAAGTCTGAGAAGTTGAATATAGGCTGTCATTAAGCATGTATCCTGGAGATAACAATATCCTGGCAGAGAACAAGTTTAGGAAAGAGAAAACAAATTGCCTTCTCTCTACCCTTTTTCTTCAATCTGAACTACAAGCTGATTGGAAGGTGGCCACGTTCATTGAAAGCTGCTATTTTCCACTTAGCTCACCAACTCATACGTGTCTCTGGAAACACCTTCACAGACTCACCCAGAAAAAATGCTTCACGGATTCTCTATGTGTTACTTAATCCGGTCAAGTTGACACTTAAAATTACCCATAATGCCATAGTAATATAATTCTGCATATTTCAGTTTAAAAAATACTGACTGTACGTCAGTTCAGAGTTTCCTGAGTAGCCCAAGGAAGAAGTTAATTTAATCCAGAAGAAAAAAAAAAATCTTTGACTTATTTTCTCACCTAGTGAACCTAGATTGGTTTATTGCTGTCTTTTTGTTTATTTGGTCAGTTGGTTGGTTTTGGGGTTGTTTCTCTTTAAAGAGCCAGGCTTCTGGGTCCCTCTCTCTAAAAATGCATCATAGAGTCCTCTGACCATTTTCCATATTTTGTTAGCCAATGTCAATTTTTCTACTCCTGTCTCATAGGCATTCAGTAGTTATTTGAAAGAGGAATGGTGACAACCATGATTTTTTCTAGACCACTTAAGACTATAACCTAAGTTTCATATCAACATCCAGGGAAGAGGTATTTGAATAGATTTGCATTATGTTATAGACAGAAACTAGGAGTAGAAGTTGTGAGTCATCTAGTCAGTAATGTCTGCTATAAGGCCTGAAGACTCTCCTTGTGTATGACTTTTTCATTTTTGTCACAAAAGAAATAGTTTGTTAAGCTTTAATGAGCACTGTCAAGAAGAAAATTTAGCTATCACATACTATCACATGTTCACAGACCAACCCAGACCCCAAAGTGACATACTGTTCTCTCTTCTTCAGAAACATGAATTCTGTAATCTTGCAAATCTTGCACCGGGCAATCGCCTGTCCCAATTGCATGAACTGCTTGCTAGACCCAGTCACAGTAGACTGTGGACACAACTTTTGCAGGCCCTGTTTGTATGTCAGCTGGCCGGACATCCCAGCTCCTGCTCAGTGCTCTATATGCAAGATGGAGATAAGGTGGAGAGAACTTAAAACTAACACTGCTTTGAAGAACATGGCTTCCTGTATCAGAAAAGCCAGCCTCTGGCATTTCCTGAGCTCTGAGGAGCAAAAATGTGGGATTCACAGGAAGATAAAGAAGGTATTCTGTGAAGTGAACAAGAGCTTACTCTGTTTGCTGTGCTCCAACTCTCAGGAGCACCAGGATCACAGACACTGTCCCGTTGACTGGGCTGCTAAGGAATGCGAGGTAAGTGATGCCTCTGAAGATCTGTTTCTCAAAGCACACATAAAATTCTTGTAAGTGTATTTCCTTGGAGGTTGGATGATGCCATCTCTGTGTCCCTTTAAGCATCTCTATTATGAGCTTCCTTGGCTTCAAACCTCTCAAATCTGACAAACATGAAGAGAAACAAAGCAAACACCATTTTTTGTGGGCTGATTTGTCTCTCATTCTGGGCCCCTTTTGTATATCAGAGTGTGAATTATACTTTATTGTCTGTATTGGTTCTCTGAGTCATGGCTCTTTTACAGGAGAAGCTCATAAAGAAAATGCGGTTTTTATCAGAAAAAGCTTGTGAAAATCACAGAAACCTGAACATGGAAACCACAAGAACCAGAGGCTGGAAGGTTAGGACTGTAATACTGTCTTCTCTAGGAAATTATGGTGAACAAACGGGTGACTCTTAAAATAGGAACTTGATCTCAAACCATAGTGTTTCTGGAATTCAATTTAAAAAAGGAAAAAACAGTTGAGAAAAAGTAGCCTAATTTTTTTTTTATGCAGGGTACTTCGACTCCTTTGTTGGATTTCATATATATATATATATATATACACACACACACACATATGTATATGTGTGTGTGTATATATATATATACACATATGTATATGTATATGTACACATATGTATGTATATATACACATATGTATATGTATATATACACATATGTATATGTATATAAATATATATATGTGTGTGTATGTATATATATATAAATTTTATTACACTTTAGGTCTTTAGGTTCTGGGGTACAGGTGCAGAACATGCAGAACTGCTACATAGGTACATACATGGCAATGTGATTTGCTGCCCATATCCCCCCTTCACCTATATCTGGCATTTCTCCCATGGTATCCCTCCCCAACCTCCCTATTCCCCACCCCCCCGACAGACCCCAGTGTGTGATGCTCCCCTCCCTGTGTCCATGTGTTCTCATTGTTCAACACCCACCTGTGAGTGAGAACATGCAGTGTTTGATTTTCCGTTCTTGTGTCAGTTTGCTGAGAATGATGGTTTCCAGATTCATCCATGTCCCTACAAAGGACACAAACTCATCGTTTTTAGGGCTGCATAGTATTCCATGGTGTATAAATGCCAAATTTTCCTTGTCTAGTCTATCATTGATGGGCATTTGGGTTGGTAGGATTTCTATCCAAATCACAGGTGTTACCCCAGCATTCTCATCTGTTTTCATGCAAACCTGGAGTAATACACCAACCAATACAAGAAACTGGGCCATTTCACAGTGTTCCCCATGTGCTGCTTGGATAAATCCTGGGCATAAAAGTTATTTGGCAGTCATGGAAATTTCAAATGAACCTTCTGAGGCTGAGTCAGCCTGAATTGGAATCCTGGTGCACAAGTCTATTTGAAACGTGAGTTAAATTTCAGGCAGAAGGAGCAACAGCACAAATCTAGGGAAAGCATAAAATTAAGTATCTCAACTAATGATTACTGAATAATGCATAACACATGATGGGAAAAGTGGTGAGAAATATAGACCTGTGTCTTGATGAAGACATAAATATGCAAGAAATATGGAAACTAGTATTTAATAGACAACTCCAAAGACTTGAAGAATTCTAGAAATGATTTTCTCTTTGTGGATGTTTATCTTGAGACTATAATATGTAATATTAATTCATTCCAATATTAACTCATTGAATAATATTTTATGACTGCCTAGTGTCTGTCAAATATTAGAAAGTTTAGTAGCAAAGAAGAAAGGAAACATACAAATCTTGCAATGGAAATGAGAGAAGCAAAAGGTCACCATGCAGATACATGAAATACATGGTATGGTAGAGTGTAGTAGTGTCTTTGGAGAATAATCAAGCAGGGAAATAGAAAAGGAGCACAGAGGCCAGGGACTGGGGATGAGGGTTTGTGTTCTCAATAGAGTGGTCAGAAAGAAGGCTCATGGAAAAATTCACACTGAAACAAAATCTTAAAAAGGAGTTGTATGTGTATATATATATATGTATATGTTTGCCTTACTCTTATATATATGAATATATATATGTATGTGTATATATATATATGGATATACATGAGGAATATACATATATACACACAGATAAACATATTCATATATATCCACATATACCTATATATATATATATGGGTATATATATTAGAAATGTATATGGAAAGAATTCTAGGTATAGAAAGGGGCGTGCACAGTATTTTTTTGAGTTTATTTAGGGGTTTGAGGAACCACAGAGATGTGGTTGCAGATTAGAGTGAGTTTGGGAGAGAATATATGAAATCTTATTAGGATATGTTATGCTAGGTGAAACGCGCTGAAGTATCAATACTAGTCTGTGGTCATTTCATTATTTCTTATATAATGCTTTTACCTCTCTTGCCCCAGTTCTCCAAAATAGAAATAATGGTTTCCTATCTAGTCAATGTAGCTCTATAGTTTAATTCTTAAAAAAGAACTGTGTTTTCTTTCTTTAAATGTGGGTTGGATGAGAGAAATCAGTTTTTATGTAATTTTCTTAGAAAACATTTTATCATTCATCAAGAAAATGTAACTGGGCAAAAGCAACTATGTTGATATTAATGCAGAAAAAAGGAGAGAAATAAAATGTTGTGGAATCTGAGAACTGGCAAGACTGAGGGTTAAAATACTGGATGTTCAGGATGCTAAGAGGAATTGGTGAAATTCAAGAGAAGATGGATAAAACATTTCTATTTTGTCTAATTGTCGCTGTAGGATTATGTGAGTTTAAGGATAGAAGCAATCAGAGCTCAATATCAGAAGATGCCGGCGTTTCTCCATGAAGAAGGGCAACATTATTTGGAGAGGCTGCAAAAAAACGGCGAGGACATTTTTCAGCAACTCAATGAAAGCAAAGCCAGAATGGAACATTCGAGGGAGATGTTAAGAGCAATGTATGAGGAGTTGAAGGAAATGGGCTATAAACCAGATGTGGAACTACTTCAGGTGTGCACTGACCATGGGGTATCAGGATGCTGAACATTCATATGTAGAGGTGTTTTTCCTCTCTCCTGAAATTCATCTCCCCCTTTATTTCCATGATTTGTTTCCAAAAACACATTTCTTTAACTAATGCTGGTTTGGTGGGAGAGTATAACCCCTCCTAAATATTCTACCAGACAAAAGGTCCCTCCTACTATATCCACCAGCAACAAAACTTTGTAAAATGGTCAAGGTAACAGCCCCCAAAAATATTTCCCATCAAAAGTCAATGATATATTTAAAATATTTGAAAGTGGATACAATGAGAAGTGATTCATTCAGATTAGTTTGGAGACACTGCAAGATAGAGAATTTGGGGAAATCTAGAGTTGCATTAATAAAATTTTGTGGTCCATTCATTTTGGTAACAGGACTTAGGGAAAATTACTGAGTAGCTTCTTTATAGTTACAGCAGAGCATAGACACTGTGGGCCTCCTCTCACTTCACATGTATAGAAAATGTCTTCAAGACTTGGCCGGGCGCGGTGGCTCAAGCCTGTAATCCCAGCACTTTGGGAGGCCGAGGCGGGTGGATCACGAGGTCAAGAGATCGAGACCATCCTGGTCAACATGGTGAAACCCCGTCTCTACTAAACATACAAAAATTAGCTGGGCATGGTGGCGCGTGCCTGTAATCCCAGCTACTCAGGAGGCTGAGGCAGGAGAATTGCCTGAACCCAGGAGGCGGAGGTTGCGGTGAGCCGAGATCGCGCCATTGCACTCCAGCCTGGGTAACAAGAGCGAAACTCCGTCTCAAAAAAAAAAAAAAAAAAAAAAAGACTTAGACTTTATCAGGACACTAATTCATGACAACATTACAGACTAGGATTTTCATTAGAAAAAAAAATAGAAAATGATTTGCAGGAGGGAAAATAATAGGGAAATAATGTTTTCAGAAACTGCTTCCAAATCTCACACTGAACGTAGTGGAAGATGTATCTTGTGGAAAACACTAAGCCTTTCTATGTTTTTTTTTCCTTTTACAGGCTTTTGGAGACATATTATACAGGTGAGTGTGTACCAAGATTTTAGCACATGCTTTTTCAGTTTCCACAAATATCAAGCAGGAACTTTGATTCTGAGGCATAATTGATTCAGGTATTGATACTACCTTTTCCTGGTTGTATTTTCTCCATCCCCCACCCCATGTGGTCATCTATTATATTGTTATACACAGTGATTTTACTAGACGAGTTCAATGAACGTTCTGCAAAAACAAAACAATAAACAAAAAATAAGGAAGAATGAAAGAAAATGAACAGAACTATTCCTAATTTCCTTTTTATTGCTCAAAAGCCTGCATATTGGAAGGAGAAAATGCTATATTTTCTACATGGCTACAAAGTTGACCAGGGGAAGCCAGAGAGAAGGGGGGAAAGTATCTTAGCTGTGAAAAATGTTGATGATTTCTTCTTTACATATAAAATATAATTCTGAAAAATAGATGTAACAAACTGTCAGAATGTTACAACTGTGTAGACCTCCAGAAAACCTCAGCTATAAAAGGCAGATCTCCCTGCCTGGAGCAAGTTTCAACACTCCAGCCTTGAAAAGGAACTACCAGATGCAGCAGTCTTAAAAATAACCCCACTTTTCCAGACAGTGATTTCAGGAAAGTCCAGCGACGTCTGGAACCCAGAATTTCATTCTTGAATATTCTCCTGGTCTTAAGACTAATGATCCTTACTAATGTGGTGCAATAAGAAGAAAGATCAGATTGAATTCTGACTCAGATAGACTTTTCCACTGTGCTTGAAAATCAGGAAATGTGAATAAGAATGAACTTGAAAAAGAAAGTGATTGATAATTTTTGAATTAGCAAATGTGTAGGTTAAGGGATTATCGTGAAATGTCTTTTAAATAAAAGTAGTAATTTTTATTTTATTATCATCATTTTGGCTGTAGACGTGGTAACTTCATCTTTTTCCTTGCAGGTGTGAGTTACTGCTGCTGCAAGTGCCCAGGCCTGTGAATCCAGAGCTCAGTACAGGGCCCATCACTGGACTGGTGGACAAGCTCCGTGGATTCAGAGGTGAGTGTCAGCCCTTTGGCAGAATTCTCACAATGTATTACTTCTTGTTAGAATCATGAGGGTAATATTTTATCCTTCATCAGATTTTTATTTTCAGAAGTAAGTGAACAATCCGACTATGCAACCCTTTTATATCTGTCTTTTGTTTTATAGTACAATTTATAGCATGAAGAGTAAAAGATAGTGAAAAACAAATGTGTTCTGGGCTCACATGTGTTGAGTTATCAACTGGGTAAAAAGAATGACATGAGAAAAAAAAATTAAATACATAGAACAGTGCTCAGATGGAAGCTTAATCATCCAATGTTATGTTAAAAATTTACGTTTCTTTACTATATTTTATTTGAATTGTTAAAAACAGTTCTTTCTGGAAGAAAGAACTAGAGTTCACTGTAGTTTGTTGGAGTATTTGTATTTTCTTACAATAAATGCATATTATTCATATAATGTAAAAAATTGACTGAATATGTAAAAAGGAAGAAGAAATTATTTTATAAATACAAAGTAAAATTAGAAATGAAAATTTTAGTTTTGTTATAACATAAAGAGGTATGTGTAAAGTCTAAAATTTAATTTCAGTCTAGAGCTAGCAGGGAAGTCCCCAGAGTGACTGGCAAAACATTTTGTAAAAATCTGCCTTAAGTTACCACTTATAATTTGGACATAGAGACTTTTATCCAGTTATCTAGAGCAGGGTTTGAGTAAGTGAAAATTTTCCCATGGTTGTCAAAATTACATCAGTAGTATTTAAGAACAAGAAATATTTTAATAATGATGCTGATAACTAAAGGGCATTCAGGGCATATAATATTTCACTTTTACTTTGGAAATTGGATTAAAAGAGGTTGGTCTTATATTTGACTCTCAATTTTTGAATTTTCAATAAATTTTCAATGTCTGTTTTTAGAGTTTTCTTTTTCCTATAGAGAATATTAATCATCCTTATACTTTATTAGATGTCATAATCAAAATTGTCCTGTTCTTGTAACTTCAAATTTCTTGGTAAAGTGAGTTCTTGATAGTACAACTTCTCTCAAGAATTCTAAATTCTTTTATTTACATGTCAGTACTTTTTTTTTTTTTTAATTTTTGCAGTTGATATTACTCTGCATCCTGAAAGAGCCAATAGTCATATCTTTCTGCATGGAGATTTGAGAAGCATGAATGTTGGGTGTGACCCTCAAGATGATCCCCGTATCACTGCAGCACCTGGATGTTTTCTTTCATGGGGTGCTCAGACTTTCACATTTGGAAAATATTACTGGCAGGTTCACGTGGGGGACTCTTGCAATTGGGCTTTTGGAGTCTGTAACAATTATTGGAAAGAGAAGAGACAGAATGACAAGATAGATGAAGAGAAGGGACTCTTTCTTCTTGGATACGTTAAGGAGGATGTTCACTGCAGTCTCTTTACCACTTCCCCACTTGTGGTACAATACGTTCCAAGACCTACCAACGAAGTAGGAGTATTCCTGAATTGTGAAGATAGAACCGTGAGCTTTGTTGATGTTGATAAAAGTTCCCTTATACACACTATCACTAATTGCTCCTTCTCACCTCCTCTCAGGCCTATCCACTGCTGTAGTCACTTCTGAACAGAGACAAATCAGAAAGGTGCCCCCATGCTATGGGAGCAACTTTATCTCAGGAAGCTCTCTTTTTGTGCCTCATCAAAGAGGACAAATAATTTATAATTAATGTCTTTAGTTGCCTTCTAATGTCAAAAGGCTCAATATTATTTCTGTTGAATGAAAACACTAAAACAATGTACATTTGATTTTATTCAGTCATTTTTGGAAAATCATTACCCATGGTGCATGGCATAGAATATATTGTTTTTTTTTTTTTTAATTATTTCTGAATGTCAAGTCACAGAGAAATAATAGATGACAGAGGTGTCTAAAGTTAAAATCAATGGAAGAAAGTAGAGATACTGTGTTTCATGAAAAATACTTGGAATAAAGACTCAATGGTAACCTGGAAATATTAAACTTATCCATGGGTTTCATTTATGAATCTATACTTTGGGATAATCTCATTTGACCTCCTATACCGTGCTTTCCTTTGTAATTCTTACCTCACATACAAATACTCATGCATTATTAGAGTGCTGTTCTACAATGAAATTTACAAGGTGATCAGGACAATGCTGGACCAGGTAAATATTCAAATGGACATAACTGAATATTGACCCCTACCTCAAACCATACACAGTTCATTTCCACATGGATTCATGTTCTGAAGGTGAAGGGAACACAATAAAACATTCTCATAGAGAAAGATTTCTTAACCAGAACAAAAAAAGAACAATTCAGAAGGAAAATTTAGTTTATATGAAAAATGATGACTTCTGTGTTTCAAAATATACCATCTAAGAATTAAAATGCAAACCAAGTGTGGAGAAAAATATCCCAACATATATACAATAAAATACAAGTGTAGGCTTTGAGATATCAAAAATACATGTAGGCTTTCAGGTATCAAGGAATATATATTGAAGAAATAATAATAACCTTTCTTCAGGTATTTTAATAAGTCACAATGAATGAAAGTGGCTGGAGGAAAGAATGAATTGGGCTTTTAGTATTGTTCAGAAACAATAAAAATAAAAGGAGTGATTTATTTCATGGTTCTGAGAAGAGGGAGGATATGAGTTAATGTAGGTAGCTTATTGGTAGAATATATGAGTCAGGCTAGTCTCAGAGGCTCACGTCTATAATCCCAAATAATTTGGGAGACTGAAGCAGGAGGGTCACTTGAGACTAAGAGTTTAAAACCAGCCTGGCCATGAACATAGTGAGACCCTCATCTTTATTGTTAAAATAGTTTTTTACAAAAGAGATAAAACATGAATCAAAGTGAATACAGGAGGTGTAAGTGGAGGAGAATGAAGTTAGAGTAAATATGTCATCTAGGAAATCGATTTCCCTGCAGTGCAGTGTGTATCTATGGGTAGAGATGACCAGAGCTGAGTAGGAAATTCTGCATTCAGTTCCCCATAAGAAGAAAAACGACATTTAGTGAAACTTACAGAGGATGGCAGAAAGATTTTACAACAACTTCAGAAAAGCAAGAGAGCAAATGGTTCAGATACAAACACCTAAGAAAAATCTTTGAGATTTGGGAGACATATTGACCAAGTAAGTAGGTTTCCATGCAAACTGAGGAAGCATGAGAGCTATGAAAGGGATCAAGCCATTTCTAACAAAGTGAAGACACAATTTATGGAAACTCCAATTGTTGGCATGTGTATACATGTGGGTTTGACTGGCTATAATTTCCTGTTCTGCTTTATCAAAAATTATCCTTTTTCCTCTCTGTGGCTAATGAATGTATGTGCTTCTGGACTCAATGCAGTAGTTTTTGAAGCAGATCTATTTATGACTATGGATTTCAAGTCATAAAAACGTTGAGGTGCATGAACTAGTTTTTCCCAGGTGGTAGGTGAGTGAAGTAAGAAAAGAAGACAAGAAAGAGTTCCCACAAATGACACAATCCTATCCCATGAATGTGGAGTTACACTGCAATATGAGGAAAGGGTTTTAAAGATGAATCTCCCATGAATGATTATGTCTTTTTAAACACTGTGACGAAGACTTTTGTATTAGAAAGCTCAGTCGTATTTCCCTCTTTAAAGGAGTGAGTCAGAGCAGCAGCACATGCTCCAGTGTGTCAACTCAGAGATCAGTGTGGAACCCATCACTGGACTGATGGACAGATTCCACCACTTCCAAGGGTGAGTGTCAACCTGCTGAAGTGATGACCACACAGTGCCCTTCAGGCATGGTCTTCCTTTTTTTTTTGAGACAGAGTCTCACTCAGTTGCACAGGCTAGAGTGCAATGGGGTGATCTCATTTCACTGCAACTTCCACCTCTCAGGTTCAAGTGATTCTCCTGTCTCAGCCTTCTGAGTAGCTGGGATTACAGGCACCCACCATCATACCCAGCTAAATGTTTTTTTTTTTTTTTTTTTAATTTTTGTAGAGACAGGGTTTCACCATGTTGGCTGGTCTTGAACTCCTGACCTCAAGTGATCCACCCTCCTGGGCCTCCCAAAGTGCTGGGATTACAGGCATGAACCACCTCGCTCATCCTCAGGCATGGTTTTCTACAGGAAATTTTTTGTTCTTTATTAACCTTTCATCTTATAAAAGGGAACATTCTATAAATAGCATTTATAGCGTACTTAGAGATACAGTCCCTGTGATCGTATGGAAAAAATAAATGAAAGCTGGTGTAATGGTAAATGTGATTCAGCCCTGCCATAAATTTCTTACATAATGAGAAGAAAACTAAAAAAGGGTTCCTTGAGCCCCTGAAGCATTATCACATACAATGTAAGTTGTACACTGAGCTATATTAGTAGGTCTTAAATCAATATATTCCAATTTCAAGAGCAGTTAATTATGATACTAGGGTTAATAGTAATTTTTAAATAGCTTATTTTAGTGTTTCTCAGTAATTGCATTTTTAATGTATATTATACTTGATATAATCAGAAAAATTACATGAATAATCATAAAAAACTATGCCCCGTCCCAAGTATTCCTCCTCTTTCTCTTATGAAGGCAACAGTCATTGGATTTAGAAGCCAGTGTAAATGTAAGAAAATTTCATCCCTGGATTCTAAATCAATTACATTTACAGAGAACCAATTTCCAAATAAGCACACATTCACAAGTGCCAGGTGCCAGCACTGGCACATAAATTATTGGGGTCACAATTCAATTTATTACATCACTGAGCAAATAAAATAAGGTTGTCTTAAAATGCAGAGGATTCAGGTTTTTCTTGAAAAATAATACAAAGTTATATTCTGTTCTATATGTAGATTATATGCAGTGGCACAAAATATTACTAAAGTAATGTTTCCTATTCGCCTACTGTTGTCTGATAAAGTCCTTGAGACATTTCTTCAGATCTACAATTACTGAGTGAGAGGGAAAAAATTTTAAAAATTTATTGCATATTTGTATAACATCCTCCAATAACCTCACACAATCACATCAGTAGTATAAAAAGGTACACATTTCATTCTATCAGCAATATTGGACAGCATCATTTCTTAACATTTGCCAATTAAATAGTTTAATAATAGTTCACTTAATTACTTTGTAGAGAAAATGAATATCTCTTTATTAATGCAATGGAAGTCCTTAATTTTCACTCAGAAATATGTTCCAATTTAAATAATCAGAATGTAAACAAATATATACAAAATTTATTGACTTTCTTAAAGAATCTTTCAGATTTTTAAATAACATATAAAACTAATTATAACTATAGACATTTAAATTATTTATATAAGTTATATAAAAGGTATGTATCTGGGAGTATATTCTTATTTAAAAATAAACATTTCTTTTTAAATAGAAGTTTGTTCTCATTAACAAAAGACCATAAAATATGAAAAGAAAGGTGTTTTTTTCAAAAAAAAATCAGTAAATTTTTACTATTCCAAGAAATATAGTCTGCACATTTTTCTGTACGTGTTTTCCTCGATGTACATCTTTGTCCATAGGATTTTTTTCTTTAATTTCCAAAATAAGTCACACGTTTTACTGTACTTTAAGAATAAAAATTTATTTAAACATCTTATTAATTTAGGTTTTTCCAACTAATATCCCTGTTATTCGATATATTCATTACATTATTAGTTACTTTAGATATAAAATTTCTAAATGGTAGAAACCTGTTTTATAAATAAGAAACCTGATACTGTCAAACTCTAATTTTATCAATGTACAATGTATGCATGTATCCAAATATCATGTGTACCTCATAAAAATGTGCAACATTTATATATTGATTAGAAATTAAAATTTAAAAAATATTTGTTCAAATATGTTGTCATTTAAATAAAGGTATCATTTTGATTAGTTTGAATTTAATCAAAATGCTTTAAACAAAATTATCTGAATTTTTTTTTTTCTGTGCAGTACCCATTGCATCTCCCTAAATTTAAAAGAAAATCAGCCAGAAGTGCCAGACATGGAGCCTCTACTTCTCTTTTTCCCAAACCATCCGCAATAATCATTAGCATTTTGATCTTCAAATCTAAAGCCTGGTAAAAACTGATCAGTATTGAGGGATTTACATGTCCATGAGGAAGGTGTATGGTAGAAGATCCTAGATTGCAGTGAAGAAAGGGCAGAAATTATCAAGGAATTGAATAATGTATTTTCAAATATCATATCAAAATGCGGTCAGATGTGTAGGAGCAGAAATGGGAATAGATATTGGGCCCCAGAAACTCAAACATGAATTTGAATGCAGGTGTTCTTTAAAAATCAATGACAAGATAAACCAGCACCAGAGGGTGTTTATGGTGGGTTATTTTCAGAGATTAAACCTTGACTTGATTAATGACGGGAAGGTAAATCTGTGTATATCAGAAACCTAATCAGAGAGGGGCTTTACGCTTCCTATAATACAATGGCATCCAAAATGCAAAGTTTATTCTTTTGGAGGCACTGGGAATTTACTAGAACGTGAAAACCCCAGCAAACTGCAACTGTCATCCAGAAAGCCCAGAGGACACAGAGCTCCGGAGCGGAATAAATGAATTTTTCTGCAAACACTGTTAAGACCACTTATAGAGTCTTCAGGTGGGTATTTCTCTTATTTTCTTTCCTTGTTTATGCAAACTGTGAACTTCTGGAGGAAAAGTCCTAGATCTTATGCAATTTTATCTGGAGCATGATATTTACAAGTTGATTGAAAATCTTTAGTGTAGAATATGAAAAGTGCCATGTT